GTGTCGCAACGCAAAGCGAATAAATTTTCGCTGAACAGCTTCAATTCTATGGATGGCATTCTGATAGAATGGCGACCAAACAACGGCAGAGTATTCCAGTATAGGTCGAACCAGGGAACAGTATAAAGCCTTCAGGCAATACACGTCCTTGAAGCTTTTGGCGAAACGGAATAAAAATCCTAGCTGCGATGAAGCTTTAGATACAACATAAGCAATGTGATCCTTGAACGTTAATTTGCAATTGAGCATGACTCCCAAGTCCTTGACAGTCGATTCGCGTTTCAAGCTTATTCCTATTAAGGTGTAATCGTGGAAATGCATCGCCCGTTTACGGCCAAAGGAGATGACCGAGCACTTGGACACATTTAAAGACATCCTGTTTATCCGGCACCAATCATCAAAGACTTCAAGTTCTTGGTGGAGGAAATGAGCGTCTTGAGGCCCTTTTATTACGTAGTAGAGCTTCATGTCGTCGGCGTACGAGAGTTTAAGGCATTTGAGGATCAAGTTCACGTCGTTCATATACAACAGGAAAAGCAATGGCCCCAGGTGGCTGCCTTGAGGAACACCAGATGTAACAATGAAGGGTGGAGAAGCGTAGTCACCGATCTTAACAGACATAGATCTGCCAGTCAGATAGGAGCGAAGCCAGGTAAGTAGACTCCCATGAACACCCATTTTGTCATATTTAGAGATGGTAATTTCATGGTTTACTCTATCGAAAGCTGCAGAGAGGTCGGTGTATATGGCGTCAACTTGATGGCCACGTTCAATCTCACGAATAATGAACGATGTAAAAACAGTTAGATTAGTCGTCGTCGAGCGCTTAGGCATGAAGCCGTGTTGATCCTGAGAAATACTGTACGAGCAGTCTTGAACCAACTTTTCCAGGACAATTAGCTCGAATAGTTTGGAGATAGCACTCAATGCAGCTATTCCGCGGTAATTGGTGACAGTCTGCTTGCATCCTTTTTTGTGAACAGGGAAAACAAACGAATCCTTCCAACATTCTGGAAAACTCCGGAGGTCATTGACAAGTTGAAGACCTTAGCTAAGGGCTCTGAAAGAGTGTCTAAGCAACGTTTCAGTACTAATGAGGGAATGCCATCTGGACCAGATCCTGTTGATGTTTTCATCTGTTTCCCGGCTGAAATCACCATGTCGCTGTGGATGGTGAATGGAGAACCAAACACCGGCGTACGAGGGACATTACTCGTGGCAGCAGCAATTTCCTGAGCATCAAGAACTTCGACTGAAAAAACGCTGCTGAATTGTGTGCGAAACATATTGGCGATATCTGCGACGGAGTTGGCATCAGTAACGCCATCAGTCATATTGGACGGCAATCCCGTTTCTTTCCGTTGCTCGTTCACATATCGCCAGAATTCCTTAGGATTAGCTTTGAGACGACTCTGCAAGTGAGACTGATGTGCGTTGTACAAGCTTGCATTGAGATCTCTGTACTCGTTGTTGGCGCGGACGTAATTAGCCTTCGTAGAATCTGTGTGATATTTACTGTGTTTCCTCAGTGCAGCCCTTTTCACCTTTTTCAGATGCTTAAGATCAGAGTTCGACCAGGCGGGTTTGGCAGGTTTACACCGTAGTTTTTTAGGCACAAACTGATCGATAGCGTAAAATATGATACCACACATGGTCGAGGCAGCCAGATTCGCATCCCCGGAGTCTAGTGTCGCATTCCAATCCACATTAGCGAGAAAGTTATTCATTCGCTCGAAGTCTCCTTTGTGAAAGTTGTAGAAGACGGTTTCGGCGTGGTCTTGGAAGCGTTTCTCAGGATCAATTGCAAGCGTCAACAGTAGAGGTGAATGATGTCTGCAGTTTTTGACGAGCGTTGCCGGAGCATGGGTAACAGAGCAGCTTTGTCCCAAATCCTCCCCGACAAAGCACAGATCGAGCAAACGGTTGTTTGCATTAAGAACGCCATTCACTTGCTGAAGCCTTGCGGTTAAATACGCGTCAAGCAAGGAGAGAGAAGCCGGTCTGAACGATGAACGGGAATTGTCAGGAAAGAAGAAGGCGTGAGCATCGCTAAGCCACGATACAGTGCCAAGGTTGAAATCGCCCAAGATGACGATGCTGTCCCTGGCATCCATATGAGAGACAATCCAATCCAGCGAAAGTGCATGCTTCTCAATCAGGCTGTGGTCGTTAACGCGGTCGGGAGGAACGTATATCACGCAGATATAGATTGTACCACTTAGAGTTGAAATTGCAACCCACAGATGCTCAACCGTCGAATCTTCAGGAGGTTTCAGTAAGCGAGATACGAAGCAGGAGCGAATGGCCAGAAGGACTCCACCACCGGAGGTCTTGTTGCTGTTGAGGGTTGATCGATCTTGACGGTAGACGGAATATGTATCGTTAAACAACTGCTTTGACAAAGTGTTGTTATTCAGCCAGGTTTCCGAGAAGGCGTATATGTCGTAGCATGCGTCGCTGCATGCTAGCTGGTATTCAGCGAGTGAGCTGTTCATGCCACCGACGTTCTGGTAGTATAGCAGAATTTGAGATGCTGGGACGCATGGAACAGCGGGCTGCAATCTGGAAGTGGAGGCAGCATCAGGCAGAGCAACGTCGAAAGAATAAGGGTACTTGCCGTGGATGGCAGCTTGGAAAGCCCTGTCCCCAGCACTAGACTCAGGGCCGGGACGACTTAGATGGTGGGGGCGTGTGAACTGACCAGGACTGGAACCAGTAGTGGGCGCAGCTGAGCTAGGTGGGTCCAGGGCTTCCATACTGCTTTGTGACATGCGTCCCAGGCTAGATGAAATGGCGGCTGATGTTCGGCTTGAAACGGAGAATTGGTCGTTGTGATTGAGGGTCTCGGTGTTCTGCAAACGGCATTTAATCGATTTCCGGCCTCTAGACGTCATCTCCTTTCCGAAAATACCCATATTACAGGGTATTTCACAGTTTTTCTTGAACCTATCGCCGCCATCTTGGATTCCAAAATTGCGTTTGGCATCGATTTCCAGCCTCTACACGTCATCCCCTTTCCGAAAATACCCATATTGTAGCATAGTGTACCGTTCCGATTCAAATTTCGGACGATTCAAATTTCGGGCACTTTCATTTTTAATTAAATATTACATCCAGTTAGAAACAAAGTAATAATGTTAGATGATCGTGGAGGGCACTAGTCAAAAAAATTTAAAATTTACAAGACATGTGGATCATATTCGACCGGGATAATCAACTTTTAAAAGTGTCCGAAATTCGAGTTTAAGTGTCCGAAATTTGAATCGGCACGGTACAGTTTTTCTTGAACTTATGGCCGCCATCTTGGATTTCAAAATTGGCGTTGACGGCACCGTCAAAAAATTTGTTCTTCTAGCAAATATAGACAGTTTCTTATGGCAATTTTCGGTGGAGCGAAAGGATAGTACAAAGTCCGCCATGTTTCACGCACAGTCTGACGTTTGCTTATGGATTTTCTCATAGGAAGAAAGAGCTACAGAGTCGCCGTCAACGCCAATAGCGTCTGGCATCGATTTCCAGCCTCTCCCGCCGCACGTCGTTCTCTTTCCAAAAATATCCATATTGTAGGGTATTAGACAGTTTTTCTTGAACCGATGGCCGCCAGCTTGGATACTAAAATGTAGCCTGGAATCGATTTCCGGCCTCTACACATCCTCCCCGTTCCGGTAATTCCCATATTGTAGGGTATTTGGGGCTTCCCTTAGTTCAGTCGGTAAAGGCGCAGCTACAAAACAAGACCATGCTGGAGGCGGCTGGGTTCGATTCCCGGTCCGGTCTAGAAATTTTTCGGGTTGGAAAATTTCTCGACTTCCCTGGGCATAGAAGTATGATTGGACTTGCCACACAATCATATCAATGAAAAAATGGTACAGGCATCGAAAGCTCTCAATTAATAACTGTGGAAGTGCATCTAGAACACTAAGTTGAGAGCACGCAATAAGCTAATATGCGATATGCAATAAGTTTGAAATGCGAAGAAGAAGAAGAAGGGTATTTGACAGTTTTTCTTGAACTGATGACCGCCAACATGGATTTCAAAATTGCGTCTGGCATCGATTTCCTGCCTCTACACGTCATCCCCTTTCCCGAAAATAACCATATTGTAGCGTATTTGACAGTTTTTCTTGAATCGATGACCGCCACCTTGGATTTTAAAATGGCGTCCGAAATCGATTTACAGCCTCTCTACACGTCATCCCAATTCTAGGCATAAAATATTAAGGAAGTTCATGTGCACACTAGAGCCGCGTACTGAGAGAGTTCTTAAATAATATGAACACCATACAAAAGGATATGATCACCTGAACAACTTTGCTGAAGACAGTAACCTTCTATATGGCCAGGGTTTTGAGATACAGCTTATATAGCAAGCTCATGTGCACACTAGCGCTGTGTAGTGAGAGAGTTCTGAAATAATATGGCCACCATTCGAAAGGACTTGGGTACTTGAACAACTTTGCTGTAGACAGTATCTTTCTATATGGTCAGGATCACGAAATATTCTATGTTGGACCTATGATCCATATATTATAGCGCCCGTCATAAGTAACATAAAGTGAAGCGCATCTAGCGGCGTAGTTCCCAATTAAACCTGAATGCAATGACACAGGCTTGTTGGTCTATTCCAGCACAACAACTTTGTCAAAGACAGTATAGCTCTATATATTGAAACACATGAGATAATCCACCATAGCCCCTATTAGTGAAAATCCCATAAGCTGTGGGTATCCTTATTCGCGGATAGCCCGGCAATAAGGGATACCGGCAATAAGGATTCCTAACTGTAGGTTAATTTATTGCCGACATTTCCCCTAATTCCACTTCGTGCTTTTGAAAATGCATTCATCCCAAGTAACAATTTTGGTTTCATGAGGGTTCTTTAGAGCGGGATTTAGACTTGTAGCATGCTTTAAAACCTCGATAAAACTTGCAATGATACTTGGGATGACTTCAGGTTTAAACTTAATTTTCTCTCGATAATCCAGATCAAAACCACTCACCTGATCCGTCGCTGCGACAGTGCCGGCAAAGAACGACGTTGACGAAGAAGACGAAGATCCCGTCGTTGTCGCTGAGGACCCTGCGGTCTTTCCGCCACCACAATCACCGCCTCGCGTCTTTTCTTTGCAACTGGATTTGTAGCAACTGCTCGCAAATCCTAGAGTATTTCTTTTTGCCCTACTGCCGCAACTATCACTGCTGTCACTTGCACTTCTACTAGATGTATGGTTGCTGCTGTTGTTGTTGTTGTTGACGATGAAATTATTATTGTCCCCACCCCCACTACTAGCGTTGGCGTTTTTAACACCACCAATTCTATCACTGGACTGGGATCTTGCGCTGCTAAACGGTCTACCGAAGCTCGTAACCGCTAACGACTGCTGTCGGAGGCAATTACCACTAATATTGCCGTTGTTGTTGTTGACGATGGAAATGATGTGGGAATCTGAAATTGAAAGGAAATTGAAACAGAAAAACAGCTTTAGTATACAAGAATCGTTCTGATGGAAATTTCAGGATGTTCAGTAAGAGATAATCGATTGCGAGATTTGTTCATCCGGGAGGGACGAACAACTGTCAAATGAAATTCGATTACGTTCCGAAAGGTTTGTGAAATTGAACGCGACTAATGAGACCAAAATGGTCCTTTCTGCTGCACCAAACGGCGAAACAGGTGAGTCCGACGACGACGATGATCATTGTGAGGCAATTAGCGATGCGAATTGCAATTGCTGATGCAGCAGCAGCTGTCTCCGTGTCAATGTGCGTGAGTTTTCTGCAATTTGACTAATCGCGAAGCGGTTTCGGGGGGGAGCCGTCGATAGCTTCCGCACTCGATCGGCTGCAGTTCTGTTCTATTTGCGTTGCAACGGATGAACACTCGAGTTCTGATGAAGTGCACCTGAATGAAGCGAGTCAACCGCAAATGGTGTGGTGGAGACAGGGATGTTGATATTTGATACGAACGCGACCGTGCGTCGCCCCGTCGGATGACGGTGGTTTTTCTCCATTTTCTGATGTCAACCCCTCCGGCCAAGGGCGTGCTTAGGGTAGGGTCTTACCGAATGAACATTGCTTTGCAGCGATGCCCGGTTACACCGGTGTGATCGGTTTCGACGACGACAATGATGATGATGACGAGCGGCGGTTTGCTCGCTATCGGTAACCCTGAAGTCTGCCCGGATGCCATTCGACATGCAATACCTCAAACATGGTAGGTAGGGGCATGCATATTCAGTGTTAGTCGGAATACTGTGGTTTCCATAGTTCATTAAACAAAGGGCATGCCATCGAGGACCAAAAGTGGGAATGATCTAGGAATAATGTAATTTTACATAACATGTGATGTAGTTAAAGAAAATCGCATTTGAATTTAATTTTCAAACTGAGGTATAATTTTTCTTTGAGTGCACGATCAAAATAGCGGGGAGCAAGTGGGGAAGTTCTGTGACATTTAATTTTCCATCAGATTGACTGACTTTCATGGAGAATGGTTGGGCTTGATGCACATTTCGTGTCAGCAGAAATTTTCCTCGAAATCTGTGAAATGAGTAATCTGTGCTCTTTGTGCTATTGTCCTTTTGTCAATCAATCGAATTTTCAATATTGATTGTGAGTGAGCTCCGATTGAAGTGGAGCTCACTCATTATCAGATGAATTTCAACCATATAAGCAGATGCCTTGCGGTGGCATGAAGTTTGAAGGGACATTCGAGCTTGTTTTGTTTTCCCAAATGATCTGGCCTATTCTTTCCGTCATTTAGGAAGACATAAGTGCATTTTTAAATGAATGAATCATAGAGAATTATTTAAAAATTAAATAGGTTTGTGCTTACTTTAGAAAACTGAAAATCAACATTATTGAATTTTGTAGTTTGATATTCAGATTTGGAATGGAGTTCAAAATTCAAAATTAATGTTAATTTTTTTTTAATTTTTTTGGTTCTCTCCTGGTTTTCTTTAGATTCTCTTCCGACTTTCTTCGAACTCCTCAATTTCTTGCGATTTTCTTCTGTTTTAATGACGTTGTTATCAATTTATGGTTTTTAAATGTACTGATTTATGATTGATATCTGCCTTTGTGTATTACTGGTTTTATCTGGATTTATTCTGATGTCTTTCTGATTTTGTAAATATTTTCTTCTGATTGTGTTATGATTTTCTTTTGATTTATATGGTTATCATCTGAATTTTAGATTTTAGGATTTTCTCATTAACTGATGATCTGATGTTCTGATTTGCATATTATTGACTGATTTTCTTCTGATTTATAATGATTTAGTTCCAGCGAATTTGTTAGTTTTCTGGAGCATCAAGGAATCAAAGTTTTAAAAAGTCCACCATAAAATCCGGCTAGTAACAGACAGGCGGAAAGAATGGTTAGAGTTGTGAAAGACGTATGCTTGACAGCAACTCGACGTGGTCCTGGCCGAATATACACCGGCCCAAAGTAATCAACACCAGTTTTCGAGAAAGGGCGAAAAACTGTTACTATCGATACAGGTAACTCTCCCATGAATTGCTGCACCAGCTTTCGTTTCAACCTGAAGCACGTTGAATGGCAACATTTCTTCCTTCTAATGGCCAGAAGCGTTGACGGCTTGATCCCAACAAAAGTTGTGGACCAGCGTGAAGGTGATATTGCTCAAAGAGCATCTTGGTACAGCGATGACGTGCTGGCAGTATCATAGGGTGCTTGGTGGCGTCTGACTCTCTTGAATTCTTCAAACGCCCACCAATCCTCAAAATGCCTTCTTCGCAAATAAACGGGCTATACCAGCGCAAGGGTGACCTTCTTTTTTTAACTAGTTCGTTTATTTGGGAAGCTCAATCGCGTTAGCTTTACGGAGCCGATAGTTCATTGTTCTTTGTTTGTAACAAAATTCACTTAATTCTATGTCTAGTAGGAGTTGGGCCGAATACTCGCGGCTTACTCGAGGTAAGAGAGGTACATTGTCGAAGGATAGGAAAAGGGGAGGAACGTGAGGTAGGGTTTCGTTGTCTCATCAGAGTTATGTCGCCAGTATGAATGGTAGTGTGGTTCTAGATTCGTCTGGAGTTCGACCGGCTATGGTGACCAGTGGGCAACGATGAGACTCATCGAGACGTGGGACAAGACAAAAAAAAACTAATAAAGAGATACAAAAGACAAACGAATTAAATTCTTATACTAGACATTTAAAGAAACACATAAACCGACTGCATATAGCAGATATCGCGAGTTCCCAACACGTCTCTGATAGGAACATAGGGTTGTCTTCCTTGGGCCTCAAGGGTATTCAAAAGTCGCTCTCTGGCGGCGTCATTATCCGTACATTGCCAAACTGCGTGATCGATGTCATCGTAACCGTTTCCACACCGACAGATGTTGCTGTCTACGAGGTTTATTCTATTGAGATGAGCATCTAGCTACCCGAGCAAAGTCGGTTAACAAAATGAAAGCAAATCGATATTAAAGAGTGCAGTTCCTATCATAATGAAAACTCATTTTGATTTCAAATGTCACGACATAAGTCTGATATCATATTGTGCTTTCATTATCCAGTCAAGACTTTAAATGAAAGCAACTTAACTTGAAGTTCTGCTGTTAACGTCTTGTTTAAAATTTAATTGAAGTTGAACTAATGATTATTGTTTATTTGTTTTGTTTAACAAATTTTAGGTCATTTGTGACCTGCCCGGGGTGAGATTTGAGCCCAAGGCTTTCAGCGTGAGAAGCATGAATGCTAACCATTTACTCCAGGCCCGTATTCAGTTAAACATTATGAATGCAAAATCAGTAATAAAATTGATTTCATTGAAAGCAGGATTAGTTTTCCGTTTGCTTCAACAGTGTAAAATTTTGCTCTCATTTCTGCTGTGTTAACCGTTAAGTCAACCAAAATGAGATCAACTGGAGTATTCAAAATAAGTTACATCATAACAGCAAATTTTGATTTCAATTTGATCTCCAGCTTTGCTCGGGTAGTAGTGGTTGGACATAAGTCTACTCATCACGCGAATGAAGTCACGACTTAAGTCCAAGCCTTTAAACCACGCTCTCGAAGAAACATTAGGAATAATTGAATGTAACCACCGTCCAAGATTTCCATTGTCCCAATCGGTTTGCCAACTCGAAAGGGTACTCTGACGCACTAAATGGTAAAATTCATCGTGTGAAATTTGCCTGTCATAAAATTCGCCTTCCTGCGCGCCCACCTTTGCGAGAGAGTCCGCCTTCTCATTGCCTGGGATTGAGCAATGTGAGTGGACCCATACAAAGGTAATCATATATGATCTTTCGACCAGTACACTCATCTGCTCCCTTACCTTTGAAAGGAAATAAGATGAGTGCCTACTTGGTTTCATCGACCGAATAGCCTCAATCGAACTGAGACTATCCAAGAAGATGAAGTAATGGTCTGCGGGCATGTTGGAAACCATCCCCAATGCGAAGTTGATTGCTGCCAGCTCTGCAACAAAAACGGAACAAGGTTCCTGGAGTTTGCGGAAGGCGCTAGAGTTTTCATTGAAGACACCGAAGCCAGTGGATCCACTGAGACGAGACCCGCCTGTAAAATATCTGTTTATGCAATTGACGTGTTGGTACTTTTCAGTAAAAATACGCGGGATAATAATAGTTCGAAGTTGATCTGGAATCCCGTTAATCACTTGTTTCATGGACAGATCATATTCAATTGAGGAACTGCGATTGGTGAAGTGAGCAGGGTCTGGAGTTTAACAAGGAAGACACATATCCGACGATATGTAGTAGTGGTAGATTCTCATAAATCGAGATTGTGTGTTCAGCCCAAGATTTTTTTCAAAATTTGCAATTATAAGTGTGTTCGTCACTCCGCATTTGATTAGTATTCTGAGAGAGAGCTCCCAGAAACGGTTCTGGAGGGGTGTTACTCCTGCCAGAACCTCGAGGCTCATGTTATGCGTTGAGTGCATACAGCCAGGAGCAATACGCACACAACGATATTGAATTCGTTCCAATTTTATTAGGTGACTTTTTCTTGCCGAGAGAAAGCAGAAAGAGCCGTACTCTAGAACAGAGAGAATAATTGTTTTATAAAGCGTTATGAGGTCTCCCGGATGAGAACCCCACCATGTGCCGCAAATTGAACGGAGAAAGTTGATCCTCTGCTGACATTTTCCTTCAAATACGTAATATGGGTATTCCAAGTGCACTTTGAATCAAACCAGACCCCAAGGTACTTGAAGGACAATGATTGAGTAATGTTTCTGTCCAAAAGATTAAGTTGCATTTGGGCTGGGTACCGCTTTCGAGTAAACACTACCAGTTCAGTTTTCTGCGGCGAGAATTCGATCACTAGATTCCTAGCCCAAGAAGACAAGTTATCTAAGGAACTTTGCAATGGTCCTTGCAAGTCCACGGCATGTGGACCTCTTATGGAAACCACACCGTCATCTGCAAGTTGTCTTAGCGTACATTGTTCTG